AAAAGTTTTTGACAACCGGAAGGAATACAACTTCGAAAGTCTTTTTTAAACGATTTTTCATTTTGCTACATTAGAGCCGTTGCCGAGAAACTTATGGATACATATACATATACACAAAAATTGCTCGTTTAAGAAAATTTGAATAAGGGGCAAAATTTCCCGCAAAACCCCCCTATCAGAAAATTTCGGATCCGCCGCTGCCCACAATACACTTTTCCAAGAACTGTACTAATACTTTGTATATTGGGATGTGGTTGGCAGAGTCTAGGGACAACTCCCATTGCTTAAGAGTTTCTGTATATAGCTTTTCGGTGATCAGATACACAAGTCAGTCATTCCTATTTCTCCGTGGGTCTAGCAAGCTGCGTCAGTGCACGCTCTCCTTAAGTTTGGTATTGCTATTGAGTATTCAGCTGACGCACTATGAAGTTTCACGATGTTGTGCAAGTAGGCGCACATAAGTCGTATTTTTCTTTGCTGAAGTATATCCCAGGCAACTTTGAAATTGCTGTCTATAACTAGCAAATTTCCGAGGAGCACTTTGGCGTCTCCCGATAGGCAGCCTTTTAGGTCACGTAATTAATAACACAAGTAGAGAACATGTCCTTGAAAGATTAGCATGTTGCAAAGGTTCCGTCGATGGACTTGGTAACTGATTATAAAGTGCGTATTCGAACTCCCCTAAGGACTCATAATAGGCGCCTTCGATATCTGCGAAATCGCTATCGTCCAACTGTGTCTTAGATGCGGTGTCGTTCGATGCTATGGCTAATTGCAAAGATCCCTCGTGTGCCGCGGTAAATTTGGCAGGAAAGTCATCTAGGAATCGTTTACGAGCAATCAAATAACCCCACGTTTGTTTCTGCTTCGCGGTTTTTCGTGTATTTGCCGAAAAGTTAATAATGAGCTTCTTCTTTATCGCCTTCCATGCTGGTGCAATTGCACTTAGTTTGCTTGTTATGGTTATCCACGTACTTCTCACGTGGCGTTTTAGCAAAAACGGGTTGCAGCTCATTGATCGCAAAACCAGTACGAGCAGTTGAGTGTTTCGTACAATATTGTGACGTGTCCCCGCAAGGGAAGCCAACATTTTAAAGTTGCAAACAAAAATGAAACGCCCTCAAAATTGGATCTAATATTCTTTAGTTTATTCCTTTTTTAAAGTGTAGTTTGCTGTAGGAAACCGACTTACTTTCCCAGACGTCGATGAAACGAATAAGGAATAGAAAACAAAAGCTTTATTGAAGTGACAGCTCGGTGGTGTGTGTCAGTCGTTTGATTTCACAGCATGTAGCTGTCTGTATGGTACAACGGCGCAGAACTGTGTTGCTGTGTTTTCATGTAGTATAAAGAGGGTTACATTCTAACAACCACAGTAATTAAAATGTTTTAGAACGTCTTCGATCTCCTCATGCGATGCGCGTAAACATTGCCACCTGAACACATATTAACTTTTTTAATCATATCGAAACTGAGTTTTTAATACATGCATACTAGCGTGGGCCGAAAGTTCGCTTTTTTAGAATTTTGGTTGGTAATAGCAAAAATATGGTTCATTAAAAATAATATGGTTCATAAATAATAATCTGTGTGAAAGATGACAAGTTTTGTTCAATAACTTAGGCTCGCCCGAGTGCATCAAAGTTCAATATGCTGAAAAAATAAAAATTAATAAATACATAAATTAAAACATTTTTTTTACAAAAATTTCAGGTATTTTCGAAAGTATTAGTCCTACATATTTTGGTATATGGAACTTTTTTGTAGGGAATCGAAGTAAGCTAAGAAAATTTTTTTTCAGTACTTGAACGTTGGTGGACTTGGGCGAGCCTAAAATATTGACCAAAAATTGTCATCTTTCACATAGATTATTTTTAGAGCATAATGAACCATATTTTTGCTATTACCAATCAAAATTCTAAAACAGCGGATTTTCGGCCCACGGTGCATACGTATGTATTATATTGTATAAGGGAAAAAGCTAAAAATCCTTCAAAAAATTTCGTGAAAAGCTGGATTTCCTGTTTCCCGAAATTTCTCATTTCCTGCCGCTAAATGGACTTCGGAAAAGCCAGATTATACGGGAAAGGGCTAAATTGCCCGCGGGAGATAATCCTGAATATGTACGCTCCTCAGAGGTGAAAATCGTACGATAGATGCTGACTTCAATGCACATTGGTCTAGTCTGATACACACATAACGTGCTATGACCGTGACCTATGCTGATGTTGGCATTCTCCCATAATCATATCTATAGATAAACTTGCTTATTTTTCTTCCCTCGAACACCGAACCTACTTCCAAAAAGCTGATTGCGGAAGTTACTGAAAGCACCTACGCTATCCTTCCCACACCAACCGACGTTAATAAAGGTGAGTATAAGTTCCGCAAATTTGTATCAGCTGCAGCAGCCTTTTTCATTACTATTGGATATATCTCGGAAACCCGTCCGAACTTTTCAGCTGAAGCAGCTGTCCTAGCAGATGAGCGTGACAGCCTTCGCAAACCCATCCCCCAAAATCCCTGCATCAAAGATCTCAACACGAAAATTCAGCAACTAAATAGTAAACCGCCATCAATGGAAGAAGTGGGATGACCGTCTGAAGTTTTGTAACTTAACCTCTGGTGTGAGTAAGCTTTGGGCAACCGTGAGACCAATGTCCTAACCCACGAAGAGCGACGATAGAATGGTAATATCTTTCGGCGACTCCGCTGCGTCGGACCCGGAGCGATGCGCGAGTTATTTTAATCGAGAGTTCACGCTGCATCCTTCTGTGGACAAAGCCAAATGTCGAGTGACCAGCAGAATGCACAAACAGCCAACACCCAGTGCGCCTCTTGCTTTCACCAACGGTGAGGTTCAGGTAGCCAAGAGGAAGACGAAAGCCTTTGAATCTATTGGAACCGAAGGAATTTTCATGCTATTGCTGAAAATATGGGTCCTGCGGAAGTAGACTACCTCACCAAGGTTTTAAATTTGTCCACTCTCATTGTTCCAGACATCTGGGAAATGGAAAGAGTTATCCCAATGCTTAAACCGAGGAAACCGGTCAACAAGGCAGAGTTTTATCGTCCGATAACTCTCCTTTCCCCGGTAGCGACGCTACTTGAGGCCGCGCTCCTCCCTCACTTGGTTGTTAATTTTGCACCCGGTGTACACTGCATTTTCTCACAATAACTGAGTCCAGAAGTCGGGTTCAAACTTTTGCTATCATTAAAACATCATCACCAAAAAATTCTAAATGAATTTTAGCAATTTTTGCGATTCTATCTTAAAACCCCAACTCTAAAACTCTCTATTTTTGATTAATTTTGTGGGAGATTTTAGCGATGAACAAAATGAACCGGATAAAGTGAGTGAACTGTTCTGACAGCTCATATAGCTAAAATTGTGATTCCAGCCTATTTTGCATCGCTAAAAATCGCTATATATGTCGACCGCTGTGGTGTAGTGGTAAGCAGTGCGCGCTTTCACTCACCAGCACCTGGGTTCAAGCCCTGGTCAAAGCAACATCGCAAAAAATTTAGAAAAAGGTTTTTCTTGACAGCGGTCGTCCCTCGACGGGCAATGGCAAAGCTCCGAGTGTATTTCTGCCATGTAAAACAGTTTCTCATAAAAATACAATCGCCGTTCGGAGTCGGCGTAAAACTGTAGGTCCCTCCGCTTTGTGTGACAATATCAAACCGCACGCCACAAGTTGGAGGAGAAGCTCGGCCAAACACTAACATATGTGTAAGCGCCAATCTATTATTATTATTATTAAAAATCGCTATTTTTCACTTAAATAAGTTAAAAATTGGCGAATAGAAAAAATTACTGCTAAAGAAATTTACCAACAAATCACAGCAAATTTTTCTATTGCTGTTAGTTTAAACTACTCAACTATATAGAAAAAACTTTGTAATCAATAGGAAAAATGGAAAAGAGCAACGGATGAGTGGCCAAAGAACAAAAGTTTATGCTATAAAATATTTTGAGCTTAATTGAAAAAAGAAAAATGTAGATGGTTTATTAAATCGATTAATTGTAGCTATTTTGAAGTTCTTAAACTAAAAACAAATATATAGACTACATGATGTCAGGTATATATGCCTTGAGCAGATATTCATATCATACTGTCATCATAAAACATTTAATTTTCACATAATTTTACTCCGATATTATTTATAATACAAATGCTAATGCTCCGCTGACCGCTGGTAACTTAATTGTCTTTGCGAATTTACTTACCGCGTTAATACGCATGTATTATTTGCAAATAACAATTTGCAAAATGTTAAACTTTACCGCATAAACGCAAAGTTAATTTTTTATTTGTAAATAACTACATAAGTCACGCAAATAAGAATTGACTAGTGGTATTATTTGCAAATAAGCGCAAGACGTTGCTATTCTCATGGTCATCTCTTTATCTTTCTATAAACAAGGCGTTGGCATTTTTAGCTTTTTTTTTGATGGTCATGTATCAAGTTTTCAGTCATATGAACAGTGAGTTAAGTGTTTGCAAATTATTTTTATTTGCAAATAGCTAACGTATAAACGTTGTATATATTTCCATTATTTCCACAGTATGATTATTTCTCAATTGAAATATAAACAAATTTTGACAGTTGCAGTTGCTGCACAGCGCCACTTTCGGCCGGATAAAGTACTAAAATTTGGGCTAAGCAATTTTTAGCGGCAGGGAGGACAGAATCGAAATTTTGGATATCGCCAAAAATTCGGATACAATTTTAGCTTTAGCATGTTAGCATATGTTAGCATTTTAGAGATAGCGAAAGTTGGAATCCGGCCCCTCCCCTTACTTTTTTGTTGTTGTATTACAAACTATCAGAGTTTTTGCTTGATATAAGTGAGGAGATCCCAATGTGAGCAAATCTCCTTTTAGACAAAATTGTCAGTTAGGCGGTTTTTCACTTTAAACGACAACATATTTAAAACATGAAATGGTCCCTTAAGTATATTACTGATACATTATTTCTATTATATTTGATTCTAGCGTCTCACACCGAAGGGCTCTTTACCATCGCAGATCACGAATCCCCCACAGTTACGCCGAAATTTCTATCACGTGGACATTTATATAAAGTGATTGTTGGTGAAACTATAGAACTACCATGTAAAGTCCAAAACCTTGGATCATTTGTTTTATTATGGCGAAAAGGTTCTTCTGTTTTAACTGCAGGACATTTGAAGATTACAAGAGATCAAAGATTTAAAATTGTTGGCGACTACGATTTGCAAATAGCAAATGTTAAAACCCAGGATGCTGGCGACTATATATGTCAACTTGGTGATCAAGAAAATCGGGATCAGGTTCATACGGTCGAGATTTTAGGTATGTATGGATGCTATTCAGTATTTATTTCATATGAAGTTATTTAAATCAAAAATCGGTGGAAAAATTCTATAACCAGTTAGCGATAATTTTCGCTTTTACAACTTTCCGACATTCATAACACACATCGACAAATTACAGTAAAATTGTGATATGGAGCTACAATTTCACGCTGGGTATTTTCAGTGATAAAAATTTACCAAAACGTTCTTTTATTTAATTTCATTTATTAATCAATGCATTAGTACAGTGATATTTATAAATATCTTGTGAAACAGTAATCTATATACATATATATACATATATATGAGTCAATAAAAGTTATAATGAATATAATGAGTGGGGTAAACAAAATTGGCACAGGTATTAGGTTGAAAAAACTTAGAATAGGGCTATTCGCGATTCGGTGCATAAGAGCTGACAAATTTATGCAATTGCAGAAATATACCATGGATTGTGAGCGACGTTTATTAAACTGTCATGGCAAAGCTTTTGCAAAACAATTTTTGTGCATCAGCTTTGGTTTTGTTTATGAATGCAATGCATAGCATTTTTATGCTATGGATTTTCGGTATTGCAAATTTGCCAAGCCATGACAAATGCAAATGCGTGTATTTTGTTTGTGTATTGCAAATAATTTGCAATACAAATTTGCAATGCAATGATGCTAGGCCATTTGCACCGGATCGCGAATAGCCCTAATATAAAACTTTGTACCATAACTATAGCTATATAATTACATGTATATACATATATACATATGTAGAGGGCTCATCTCAGAGTAACAAGTATAAAAGTTAAGACTAACTAGCGAAAGTATGAATAAAAAGTCTTAAGGTTGCTCTTATTTAAAGTATTACGGATAGTGGCTGGAATAGTGTTCCATATACGAATAGCGTTGACAAAAAATAGCCTTTCAGAGCTGAGATAGTTGTAGCCAGGGATAATTAGGTCATTTATGCGCGTTGATTTTGGAAATATTAATTTTTCATATAGGTAGCAAGGAGTTTTATCCATCATAAGACGAAATAGGATACACAATTTCTAGCTTTCAAGTAATCAGTGATTTCACAGCCCAGCAGGGATATACTCAAATTTTGCTATACCAAACAGGGTTGTTGAGAATATTATTCCGAAATAAAAGTGTTTTCCGGATAATAAACAAACCGCTTATCCAAATTAAACAAGTTTTTTATCAAATGAAAGAAGACTTAAATAGCTTTAAAACTGAAATGTCTAAACGAGGAAAGCCACATATTAAAAAATATTTCAACAAAAAATGTTAATTAATTACCATAGAACAAACCTTGTGTCAGGTATATGCATTTCTCTAGTATTAAATTATAAAAAACATATGAATAAAGGTATTTCGTTATTTCTGTTTAAAAGCTAATTCAGTCCTCTTTCATATAATATATATAATTTGTTTAATTTGGACAGGCCGTTTGTTTATTATCCGGAAAGGACTTTTATTTTGGAATAATATTCGTAACAACGCTGATACCAATTTCATACCTTTTACTTCAATTTTGTTTGACTAAAACGAGTAGAAGGTCTGAAATTTTAAGAAGAAGGAATTGTTTATTTTTATTAATATTGCCCATTATCGGAAGTATTGCCCGTATTGGAAGTTTCCACCTGATATCAATTGGTGTAAAAGAGGCAGACATTCTTAAGTTCCTCAAATTATAATACAACTTTCCAACAAAAGAGTTTATATGATCAACACACGTAAGTCTAGTTAGTATTGTCGCACTTGGTCAGATCCATATATTAATAACGAAAGGTTTTGTTTTGTTATTTTTTTTTTACTTATTATTTTATTCAGTTCTGTGCATCCCTCAAACCGGCAACTTTGAAATAGTGATCAGAAATGGTTGGGAATTTTTTTCTGGCATAACTTGGGCATAATAAACTACATGTCGTCATCTATATACCATTTTGTGCTTCGTTTGACTTCCAGGTGAGATAAACGAAACAGTCCCTCCAGGCACTCATATCGGTTAAAGCAAAAAATATGAACAGATAGAAATTTTATTAAGTACCAACGGTTTTATTCCAAAAAGTTTAGCAGTGCAATGGAATCTAGAAAAATGTATTACTTTTTTGAGTGCTATTCCAAAAAGCAATTTTTTGCCGCAGATCAAATAAATATAAATTGCATACTTCGAAAATACATTGAGTTTGCGACTTTTTACAAAATTTGCACCATTTTTTGCCACTTTCTCGAGCCATTTAGAAAGTTGATTGTTACCATTGAAAAGAACGTCATCAACATGATATACAGATTTTCTGCCAACACTCAGAGCAGCAGGTTGCGATTCATCTTGTGGAGTAGAAGGTTGACTTGTTGAAGATGGGCCACCAACCGAACGCGTTTGAGTGTAGCTCACAAGACCAGCAGCGATCTGTTCTCGGAATTCAGGTATCAATGAAATGATAAAAACGGCGGTCATTGCGTCCATCCCCATCTCGGAACGACGGGAATCTTTTTGTGACTTCAAGCCGTTTCAATGGCATCGTTTTGCGAATGGGTTCGAATACATTCTTCATTAACTAGCTTTCTAAATTCGAGGAGCGTTAAACCGACATGTATGAATGAATGCCGATTTACTGCCAGATATCATCGACATTCACATTGAATCTCAAGTTTATATCCTGATTAAGTTAGAGCATACCGGTTCGTCTCTTAAACAATCATTTCAATTATTTCTTTAGGGGAAAAATATAGAAATAATTGCGCCGGTCTTGAGAGCGTTTTTGTGTGCTCAGGTAAGCCACGAAATGCCACCTCATTTATATGAAGTTTAAGGTTTGTTTTGCACCATATGACTTTGCTGAGTTCAGCGGAATCTCTGTTTATTTATTTAATGTCTGCAATAAAAAATCCATACGATCAGTACGTAAAATCAATTTTCCAAAGATGTGAGAGAAACTCTTACTGCCATCAAACCACCATTGGTTGGTACAACTGCTGGATCGGTAGCTTCGGCTATACTACTAGTCTCCACAGAATCCATAAATTCAAGAATTTCTTCGGCTGATAACTTCGACAATTTCTCACGCGACATCATGGAACGATTTGCATATATTGTTATTTAGACACTTTATGAAAAACTGGTGAAAAATGTATAAAAAGTATTTGCATAACTAAAACGCAATAGAAAAATGCGACGCGTAAAAAAATTCGCGCCGAACGACAAGAGTGCCTTGAGGCACACTTAGATTTTTTGCTATAGAACATAAAATCCAACTATTTTCAACACCGTAGATACAAAATCGTAAAGCTTATGACTGAAACTTTACGGGTATAAAATTCTTGAGTTAAAAGAACGTCTCCAAAATAAAAATTTTCGATGATGAAAATCAGAAATTTTATAATACGAAAACAGGACCTTCTCCTCCACCTGTTCGCAAAAAACGGATTACAGAGGACAAACGGCCCATCGGATTACATTCTAATTTGAGAAAGAAATGTCATCAAACATATGATCAAGAGCGTTGAACTCACTTGCGTAATGAAAAATTACATCTTCATATGCAAAAGGTGATTTTTGTGATCCTTGCCTTGAGGCACTCTTACCGGTTAGAGGGATATATGTTTGAAAGTTCGCAGTTTGGGTTTTAATAAAGTCAAATCTTACAAGAGTGACACGTGTTAGAACCTTTTTCTTATTTTTTCTATTCTAGCGATACAGGAAGTATAAGTCGATCTACGATTATTCATCGATTATTTATTTATGTCTTCGTATAAACAACAGATTCTCCTATTTTTTTGAGATTTAAGTTTCTTAAACTAAAAAAGTAATTTAGTTTCAATTTTATAGTTATTAAAAACAAATACCAAGCTTACAATCGTAGGTATCGTAATATAGACTTATTTTGGAAAACATGAAATGGTATGAATTCACATCTATATCCAGAATACATACTCGTATGTATGTATGTTCAAGTTAGGTTTTCTTTTAGTTAATTAGTTTCTCACAGTGATGTTAAAATTTATGTTTTTCAAGTGGTGATTTGCTTGACCTTATTTTGTCGGTCCAAACAGGAATCTCGATTTACTGTTGTTGGGTAGCTCGTTTCCAATGGGATGGTGACAAGAAAGTGGCAGACTTACGTTTTGATGATTTTGGGATAATCGGCGAATGGGGGTCCAATTGCTGTCAAATGAATAGACCAGGTTTTGCATTCACAACTTCTTTATTTTCCCCTGCACAATTTGGTTGGGGATTCGCCGGAAGAAATGTGACGGAACCCTTTGCCTTTGACTGAACCAGATACAAGATAAAAAAAAACTGCAAACGAATAGCACGATTAAATTCTGTTACCGCCTCGAACACTTTGCACACTTACGGCTTTTTACTGATAGCCTTTTTCCTTATGTTTGGGCTCAGTCGATTTCCCTTTATTAGATATGGGTGAATATCGACTAACTGAATGTCGCCAGCTTTTAACCCAGTTTAATTATTTGGTTAAGATTACTTCCGTTCTTGCGAGGGCTGATGCGTGTGGTTCGCTCCGTGTCCAATTCGGGAAAGGAAGAATATTTCCCTAGCCTCGTGGTATGTGACCACCGATTCTTTTATCGTGTGTAAGTGTGCCGAACGTGGGCTGAGAATGGCGTTTAACGCACTAGCTCGAATCTTCTTATGGACCAAGTTGTTTGCTCCCGGGATGCAGCGAAGGCCTTGAATACTTAGGAGTATTACCTGTATCTCCTTCGGTCCCTTCTGTCGCCAACAAGGTACGCAACAAAGATCAAGACTATCCACCCCCGAATTTACCGGAAGACCAAATCAGACTGAGAATATTCAACCAGTTTGAGAATGTTAAGCGAAATTAATTTGATACGAATTTCAAATCTTATTGGTAATGAATACACGAAAAATAAAGAAAAATGAAAAGTTTGGTTCAATTAGTATTGACCGTGTTATCGGTTGCGTTACTGGCACTCATACCGAAAGACGAAAAGAGGAAAAAAATTATCGGTTCAAAAA